TCACGTTGTGTAGGCCGTTTGTGTTACCGCGTGCGGAAACTTCGCTTTGGCAGGTTCATCAATAGGCGACGTCTATATGTGGAACCTTCAATCGGGTATACGACGCAAGACTTTCGATGTTGGACCATGCCCTGCAGAGGCTACAAGTCGACTGGGAACAGCCGGAAAGAAAGGGAACGAACGTACTATTACTGGGATCTTTACAGACGCACTGAACAGAACTGTCATCGTGAGCACGTTAGATGGAACTATCAATGTGCGTATGTCTTGCCTTGATGAATGCAGGGCTAAATGACATCGTAATTCTAGTTCTTTGATTTCCACACTGCACAATTAGAGCGCACCGCCATTATTTCTTCACCTATTGTATCCTTGTCATTACATCGGGACAATGGGCTACTGGCGGTTATATGTGACGATATGATAGTCCGTATCCTCGATATTGAGACCAAGAAAGTTGTTCGAGAATTAGGAGGGTTTAGAGGACGAATACTTGATATTGTATGCCAGCCGCTTCAACCGTTCTCTCACACTGTTGCTCACATACATTCTTAGACGTTTTCCCCGGATTCAAGATGGCTAATTGCCAGCTCTTTGGATTCTATCATCCGGACGTTTGATGTCCCAACTGGTCGGCTGATCGATGCCTTCAGGACACCTAGTGTGGCCATTAGTGTTTCGTTCTCACCTACAAATGACTTCCTCGCAACATCACATGTCGATAGCGTCGGCATTTACCTCTGGTGAATTTCTTCAAATTATTGAGCAGTTCAGCAATCTGACCGACAATTGACAGGGCAAACCGTGCACAGTATGACACTGTCTCCTTCCAGAGTGTTAACGACGATAATTTGACTGACACGGCACTTCCTTCAATGCAAGGAACTGCGGAAGACGAGGGTGAGCATAGATAATTGATATGCGGGTCGTTCTAACGCTTCTTACTATTAGCACTTGACTCGCTATCACCACTATCTGCACAACAAGAAGCTACCAACGTTTTCATGACGCCTCCTCAATTAGACGGGGAGCTCATAACGCTTACGCTACTTCCCCGATCTCGATGGCAGACACTGCTCAACCTAGAAGTGATACAGGTGCGCCTTTCCAGGTTGAATGGTGCTTCCTTTCTGACACTCTTGATAGCATCGTAATAAACCAAAAGAGCCCCCCAAAGCCCCAGAAAAGGCGCCCTTCTTTTTGCCCACCCTTCCTGGTGTCGAGACGCGGTTTGCTGTCGAGACCACCGAACAGGAGAAAAATTCGAACAAGTCAACACGAAGATTGGAGAATGCTGCAGGTCATTCACAAAGCCAGTTCCACAGGCAGCTGAATTCCGAATCTCGTGAAGGGGATTGTAGGTCACGACGTCCACTCTGCAACGCTATCTGACCCTTTTCAATAGATGAGACATTTTTCAATCTGATCAAGTCCCTATCACCGGCCGCCTTGGACTTGGAAATTCGCTCACTCATCTCCCTTGACAGTCTTCAACTATTCACTCACTCCCTGAGGCAACGGCTACTTTCGCGTAAAGATTTTGAAGCCGTCCAAGCCGTCCAAAATGTTTTCCTCCGTATCCATGGGGATGTACTAATTGAAAATTCAGAGCTCCAATCGGATATGATGGAGCTTCTGGAAGTACAACGGAAGGAGAGCGAAAGAGTTTTGGAGTTGATTGCTTCGTCTCTGGGAACTTTGGGATTCGTTAAGGACCGATCATGAAGTCTACAAGTTGGTTACTTCAGCTGTCGAGGATGTTGGCTATAGATATCATACACTATATATCTGTTCAGCGTGTGTGGCGTGGTGGTCACCCGACTTCAAGCCCAAGTAACATTATCGACCAACCGGGTAGATGGTGCTCTCAGAGAACATATCTGTCTACTGTTGTAAACCGCCCAAGCGATTACTATTCTTATGCTGATAGAACTTCACATCATGGAAGTGAAGGGTAGTCAAATGATCTGTAGCTCCCAGTTGTTTAGCGATGGTTCTCCTTCAAAGGAGCCAACTATGTATATTAAACTGTCCAGCGATCTTTGACTTCACGTCACAACTCTACAGATTTATGCCAGCTCAATATAACGTTCCACTGCATCAAATCGATCAGAAACACTATAGGTCGTCCGTGTAAGATGATAAACTCACCCTCCCAATCGGTAATAGCCTCGTTCCACAACTTGACTTCATGTTCTCGTGTTCCACCATAATGCTCAACAAATACATTACCTAGCATTTCTGGCTCTCTGGCAATACTTTCCGGCTTCATCATCCGGATCGTGGCAGCCTCTAACGATATGGGAAGCATCTTCACCTAATAAAAACTGTCAAGTAGAGGCAGCGCCGACGCCGTACGACTTGCCTCCCCGTTCTTCTTGTCCTCGGGAGTGAAATGACTGATAGGCGGTGTTGTGAGCTTGAGCTTCCTCTCGAAGCCTCTCAAACCGAGGAGGAAGACTGCGCTCAAGGCGAAATATGGATTCATATCCGCCCCAGGTATACGAACTTCGAACCTCGTTGCTGAAGGAGCGACTGAAGGAGGCGAGAGGATACGGATAGACGCTGCACGGGAATCGTAGCCGTATGTAACGGCGTTCGGCGCCCAGAATGCTTCGCCACCTACTAGGCGCTTATAGCCGTTGATAGTTGGGACCAACTGTATCGAAAGTGAGAAGATCAATTGTAGTTTGAATGTCAATCACTTGCCAAAGGCATTACTAGTACAGGATCTGTTAGTACTCATGAAATGAATGGTAATTTATAGTGAACTGACTGTCAGCGACGCCATCAAGAATACCGGCGAGGAAGTGTTCAGCTGCTTCGCTTATGTACTTGGTATCTTCAAAAGCAGCACCTTCTCGTCCTGTCGCCACATCAGATCTGGGTAGTGCGAATATATTTTGACCCTGATTGTTTCGTAGAGAGACATGAATATGGCTATCAGGGCGCGCGGTTAAACGGTGGAGATGTGGCAGATGAAGAGAGTTCATACCCGCTACAGCCGGGGAGCTGTGTGTAACGTTAGAAATAGACTCCATGAAAATGTCAAGGTGACTGACATTATTCCAAGGCTTGGCCATGAAGCTTGGAATGACACCTCGCTGCATACCGATACTTTTCGTTAGGTACTTGAATAGTATTGCGTTGTCAGCCATTCTGAGAGCAGTAGTGTAAGCCAAGGCAGTCTCCAGGACGCCAGGACCAGTTTCGGTGTCTATCAGATACTTAGATATTTCAGGAAGTTTGAGGTTGGTGAGGGCCTACGATGTCCTTCAATGTCAACGCCAAATTGAGCGCCCAAATTAAAAATGTCATGAAAGTAATCGTTGTTCAGTTGAGTACGCAGAAGAGAGTACCCGTGCACTTGATGTATATGAATGAGAGAATCGAAGCATCTGCAAAACAGCTCACATACTTCCTGGTGTCAGCGGTTTCAAGTCGTGGTAATTCTTCTCTGATAATGTTCCCGGCGTTTCTGTGGACGATGCATGAGAACATTGTTGGTCGTAGCCGCACGACTAGCCTTTGAAGTTGAAGAACTGATAGAAATCCATATCAGTTCAGATCCCATCAATGAGGAAACGGCTAACCTCGTATTCTACACCAGCAAAACATTCGAAGCCCAGTGATGCTGCCCGTTCAGTCGTGATCCTCAAAATACCCCTTGGGTCAACTACCAGTGGTTCTTTCGTATCGGGATCCAAGAAAGACACCAGGAAGAAGGGCACATTATCTTCCCAGGGAATACGGCGGTAGGTGGAGAGGTCGATACGTGCTAGGATGTCTCGGTAGCCATTAGCCTTGTTTGATATTAGCAGCTCTCGTGAATAGACGGTGTCATGTATGTCCCAGCCACTATGGATACCGTTGAGCTTGCGAGATCCAAAAGACGTGTTGAACGTACAATATGACGCTGCAGAAGCCAAATCCGTCTGACGATGCTGCGCTGAGGAATTTATCTTTGCTCTAGGAAATATTCAACGCGCATTTCGAACAACATAGAACGGAACTCGCACCATAAACTTGCCACGAAGAACGCCGTCAACTATTAGACGCGTCAAAATGCACTAATGTTGCAACACGCAAGTTCCTACCGTCGATTCCTTGATAGCGTTAAACCCAAAGCCAATCAGTATTTCAAGTAGCACCCACCAGCAACCTTGACTTTGATATCATTCTCCAAAACGTTCTTGAGTTCCTCCAAGGTGTTGGGTGCACCGGCAGTCGCAGACATGATGGCCGGAAGTGAAAGGGAGCAAGTGTGTTAGGGGTATGATGACCGTCTCTTATCAAGCTACGACTATGACCAACGCCCATGTGCTCGACGACCCACGCCGCGGCGACAACGACCAGCTCTCCGCTATATCGCTCATACTCGGGCGCCTGCGAGGCCTGGCTTATTCGATACATCGACCATATCTATCTGCCTCAAGGGTTCGTTTCTAAGGATAACTTGTGGCAAGAGCTGGACAAAGCGTGGCTCGTAGCTAGGCTCGTGCGATAAGGATGCGAGCCATCGATGAAATACTGGAATATCGTATTTGCGATGTCGCAAGTCTGCGGCTTCGAAGCTATCGCGAGGATTGCCCATCTGCATAAAGAGGTTAACCTCGACTCCATGCCTAGGGATCGCATTATTCTATGGCTGCGAGAATTCGCCTGTAAGTAAACGCTGAGACTCTTACATCGAATCATCATGGCTGATAATATTTCACGATGTGGAGTCCTGAAATGGATAGGTCTTGTAGTGCATCGGTTATCACTGAGGGTTTTTTCAAAGGTAGGCCAGTTGTACTCGACGGCAAGAACACCATCGGAGAAGACTACACTACTAAGAATCCCCCATCCCAGCGCCGCACGTTGTTTCGGCTGTGCCACACTAGTATGTAGAGTGTACACTGTTCCTTACTAATTTGATTCGCCTTTAAAAAAAAGTTGCTTGTTTCTGTTCTCTGTTAGACTGCGACCATGAATGTATATATATTAGATACTATTACGGTCTTATAGTGTAGTGGTTATCACTCAGGATTTTGATGTCTAATTAGCTTCCTGGAACCCAGGTTCGAACCCTGGTAAGACCTTCCAGTGCATGTGATTACGTTTTTATACCACGTTACGTGTACGCCACCGTGACCCGTCAATTAGGGCTGCGCACGAAACCTCCAGGGGGTTTGATACCGTTTTGTACCCACCCCCCCTGGGGGGGGGTTTCTTACCGGTACGGTAATTTACCGTTTCTTACAGGTCACGGATTTCTTTATACACATCTAAGTCTGAGAATCCTTCTCCCTGTCACGTGGTCGGTAAGTTACCTCAATGAAATATGCTCCACAGACCTCTGGTTTCTTACCAGTTTCTTACCGGTAACTTACCGGTCCGAAACTGGGGTGTATCAAAACTGGGGGTTTCGTGCGCAACCCTACCGTCAATGGTCACCGTTACCCCCGGACATGTAACCGCAAGGCTCAAGCTCAGAGGCGCCACACGGCCCACGGTCCAGCGGTCCAGACTGTCGTCAGTTCTGCTGGTTTTATCGAACAACGTTCCAAGTTACAACGTTGTAAGGTCTTTACGACGTGGAGTACATAGGACATCCCGCCCCTTCCTTGAGGGAAGCTCTGATGTGCTCACAACTGCAGACTTTTCCCGCCATCTTGTAAGCACGGCTTACATCGATTCCGCACTCATATAACGCCGGGAGACCAGATCCGGCACGAGATATAGATTTATATATATATACTGTAGACGTACGTAGGCTCTTCCTTCCTTCCCTTCACCCCGCCTTTTCTCTAGACATTCCCCACTCACCGTAGACACGCTTTGCTCACCAATACACCCCGTTCCTGTTTTGTGGAGTGATTCGTGAGTCGCACATTCAGTGAGGCTGTCTTTGGAAGACGACAGCCTTTCACATCTTTCTCAAATCTTTCTTTTCGTGTTTGTTTGTGCATTTCCCTTTCTTGTGAACTATAATTTGTTGCAAAGTGCTACAGAACTATGTTGTACCTTTTAAATACGATATAGATACACCATGATTGGGTGATAAGTATGAATATGATGATGACATTGCTCCTCATAGTTGTACGACAGATGTTTCCTTCGACATGTAATAGAGCCTATCTCCAATGACAAAGGATCAAGTGATTGCCGTAGTTGAAGCTTCCTGTGTTAGGTCAACGGGACTATAGGTCTCCATGGCACCTGAAGAATTCCTGAGCATTGGTACAGAGAGCAACTTACCTCTCCCAGAAGGTCGCGCTTGAACATATTGTCCAAAACAGTTCCATTGCCGGCACGATCCGGTGCCCTTGGTAGTTTTTCTGAAGGAATGCGCGAAGATAACGCACGATAAAGTAGCATTCTCTTCTCTAGAGTCATCAGGGATGTTTTAAATCCCGCGACGAATATAATAAGGGGTAACATTGTCTGAAGAACTTGATGATGAGATGAAGAAGGGAGGTGTCGTAGCGTGTACCTTTGGTCCTTTCCATCCTTGCACTGACATGAGGGGGCGGCTAATTTATAGGATCGAGAAAGACAGCCCCCGTATGATTAAGTGGATAGGTTTGTCACGTTGAACGACGAATAACCTCTTGGACGGTCATAACCCATAGTGAGAAGAGTCGTATACAGAACGTATGCGCATGGACTTGGTGTAAAATTGGAGCAGGTTGCCACGCCAAGCGGCGTGCCGTGTCGGTGATGATACTGACATCGATCTTTGAGGCGATGCACTTTGCGCGAGACGATAGTGGGGTGACGGCTGCGAGGGTTCCTGCCTGAGAAAGGAAGAGACCTGCATTGTGGTTCCAGGGTCTGTTTGGAGACGCCGTACATACTGCGCAGGGCTCTTCATTCAATACCCGCCGATGTATCCTTGTAAGTTTCATTTCAATGGCTAAAGAAAGGTGAGTATATGCGCTGGAATAATGCAGCCAATCGACTAACCTGGGAGATAAATCACGGACGATATCGAGGAGATTATTGACTTGTATAGATTGCCCCCTTCACGGCCTCATCGCGCCATGTCCGCAAGTAGCTCGAGCGTAGTATGCCATTGTAGTACGGGGGCTGGTATGTACGGTAACCTTACACGGATCATTGGTACACCTCATTGACGGCAAAACTGGAAGCGAGACGATACTTGAGGTACTCTCCTGAAAATATGCGGCCCACGGTCATGGTGGAGAGAGACGTGTTTGTGACTAAGCCGACGCGATGATATACATTTGTCATCAGGACTGGTCTTGGATCGTACGTCGAAGTCCGAGTCGACGCTTGTAGGCAACTTCTTTTGCGCGCAAGACGGGCGAGAGCTCCAAACGAGACGTGTGCGACAACCATCGGACCGTAAAGCCGCATGACTCGACTCGTTATTCCTTCCGCATGACTCCAACTTGCCCCAATGATCTGCCTTAAAAGGCGGCATATCGCGCCATCTTCCCTATCCTTTCTTCTCCAAAGAGGTATGGCTATCGTTCACAACGTTGCCCAGACTGGCTTTGGCTCCGGCACAAACGAACTCTACGACCGGTATGTGTCACATTGCACATCAGCGAGACGAATATCTTGACCGCTACGTCCAGTGCGCGACCATCGTACCAACCCAATGCCTTGTCTGCGATAAGGGAGGCTGTAAAGGACACGGCCCCGTTAAATGTCGTCGAGTACGTGCACCGCGCCCAAGTCTAGATATCCTTCTCACGAACTTAGAATCGGTGCCGGAACAGGCCTGTTCACCAAGGCGCTCCTCAAGCATCCAGATTTCTCCGGTGCAATCCGCGAGCTGAGAGCCGTGGAACCAAGCGCTGGAATGCTTGATGTCTTCATCAAGACCGTTCAGGATGAACGCGTCTCTGCGAGGGAGGGAACATTTGATACTACCAATATTGAAGACGGCTGGGCCGACCTTGTCACGATTGCCCAGGCACGCCGTTTATTCTCGGTAGAAAACTTCTCACTTCATTTGCACATGCGCAGGCATTCCATTGGTGTCCGGACTTTAACGCTGCCTCTATCGAGTTCGCCAGGATTCTCAAGCCAGGTGGCGTTGTCGCCTTCATTTGGAACCTCGAGAATAGGCGGGTTCCTTTCCTCTGTATTCCGCATGCCATGCGCATCTCACACGTTTCCCGTTAGGGATGCCGCGCGATGGGTTGCTCAACTGAGGGACCAAATCGAGCAGCACGAAGCTGGCACTCCTCAGTTCCGTTTGGGCTTGTGGCGCAAGACTTTTGATACCGATGCTTACAAGAAGCTCTTTGAAGCACCAGTAGAGAAGACTTGGGCGTATACCTTACCCTCCGATGTCTCACTCGTGGTGGACAGAGCGAACAGCAAGAGCTACATCCAGACTTTACCTGATGATGTCAGGTCCAAAGTATTGGATGGCGTCAAGGCCATTGTAGACCGAGGCGATGATAAAGTATGGATAGATGAGAAGCAAGGCACTTTCGAATATCCTTACCAAACGTTCTTGGTCATTTCACAGAAGAAGCATTAGAACATGAATTGTAGATCTGTAGAATCTGTGTAGAATCTTAGCTGAAATGATATACATTGAACAAACGACGGCCAACGTTAGATAGCAAGACAAGCGACACTCATGTAAAGAAACGTTATCGACTAAAAATATCATACTTGTGAAAAATAGTTACAAAAATGCTACGGTATGGGTATACATGCAAGAAGACCAAAAAGAACACTTTTCAAACAAGGTAAGATGCCCACCACACAAAAAGGACAAGAATACACTAATGTGAGGAATGGCAATGAGAAATAGTGTCCGAAGGAAGGATATCTTACTCACCAGTGTTACCAGTCGCGGCGTAACGAGAACTTCGTGCCTCCTCTCCTGGTCATCTTCATCTTCATCTTCATCGTCCTCGTTCTCATCTGTTTCTTCACTTTCGTACCCGATATAATCATCGAGATCATAGTGGGGAGGAACGGTAAACTAAGTTAATCAGTATGACTTCCTCGCAGAGAGTGCAATCGACTTACTCGACCGGTCTGTGGAATAATTGCGGGTGTTTGTGGAACAGGCACATCAACGGTGTCCTCTCCTTCAAACTAAAACGAATCAGAACGGCAATGAAAAGAAGATCATAGGATACTGTACCCTATACGAAAGAGAGTACGGCTGATAGCGCGCGGTGTACTCGCCAATTGGGAGGTAGAGAGAGGAGGAAGCATGAAGAGCTTCATCGTTGGTAGGAGGAGAGCGAGGGGCGAATTTCTTGCAGGAGCGATGGCAAGGCATCTTGGAGATGAAGGAGCGGAGCAGAAAATTGAGGCATACATGCAACTTAAATAGACGAAATTTTAGGTTTGCGAATCTGGGTTCGTAAAAAGGTGCAAAAGAACCTAAATTGGTGTTTGTTTTGTTTCCGCTTGAACATGCGCCGCTGTTCCGACCACAGATAGTCATAAGGGCCCAATCGAAGAAGTTTTTTTCGCTCCTGATTGACACGGCACAGGTTTTCAGTTACAGGCAGTAGTCGCCGTTCCAATTGAGGGAAGGGACCTGATCCGGAAGATTGGGTCGAATTTGTAGAAAGCGCGTCGCAGAGCGCTTAACATCCTCGAGGCCGAATAATCAGAATGGACATGCCGACCAGGACGTCGGGGATACAATGTCCAGGAAACGTTCGGTAGCCTCGTCTTGAAACAGATGCCGTTGCTAGCACTCCAATACGTCGAAGCCTGAGCCGTCGTCGCCAAGCTGTCTGAAGAAATGTGTTTCTTGCTCTTACTCCCAGTCCGCAGCAATACCCCCACGCAAGACATATACACAGGTAAGGGAGTCACCCTTGGAGGGCTCGGTTGCCTTCGATACTGGGCAATTCTTTGCATCTTCGGTTGAAATCTTGCCGGTATCTCGTTTCTGCGCGTCTGGGGAATTAACGCGGACGCGCGCGTGCGTGACGTGACAGAATGAGTCATTTCATGTCACGCCAATAAAAGCTGCGGGACAGTGTGTATGTCGCGTTGTCCGTATCAGTGATGTACCACCACCACTGAAATGTACAACGTCGTTCAGGTGCCCCATACTGGAGTGAACCGTCAAGAAAATACTCGC